AAAAAAAAAAAAAAAAAAAAAAAAAAAAAAAAAAAAAAAAAAAATTTTACAAATTGGAAATTTCTTTGTTTTTTTTTTTTTTTTCTTTTTGTCTTTTTTCGTGTCCGGCAACGGATTGCAACCCTCAGTGTCGTGCCCGTACCGGACTAGGACCGGCAACGGGATCGCAACCCTCGGTGTTGCTCCTGCACCTTGCTCAGCCAGTGAGCGGGAACCGGTCTGTATGTGGGATCCGAACCCTCGGCGGGAGCGCCACTGCACTCCCAAGTGGCGCACTGTAGCAGTGCGCCACCGGGCCGGCCCTTAGTTCTTGAGGTACTGCTATTCCCATTTTCCATGTGATAAAACCGAAGCAGAGAAGTAGGTTACTTGCCCTGGGTGTGTGGCCAGGCAGGGTGAGGTGAGGCCAGAACTTGCACCCAGGTTCTAGGGCTTCTCCAGTAAACTAAAGGACATCTACAGCCCTAGCAGAGATGCTTCTGCTACCCGTTTCAGGGAAGGAAAAGAGTTGCTTTGCAGCTTAGAGAAGGTGTAGCAGGGCTTTGGCATTAACAGCAACTTGGGCTTCTCAGAAGAGCTTTCGTTATGTTTCTGAGGGAGGGGTTAGTTTTCCTCTAGCCTCAAAGGAATGAATACAAAGACTCCTGGCCTCGAGCCTGAGGGCAGTGGCATCTCTTCACCTACGGAATCCTGCTGGTCCCTTGTCTGGGCTGCACGAAGGAGCAGCTGGGGAGCAGACTGGGTAACCTTTGACCCTTACCTTCTCATCTTTGGCCCAGGAGAAGAATGGCTGGTCACCTCTGTGGGGGCATATCTCCCAGCAGTGTTTGAGGAGGTTCTGGATTTGGTGGATGCCGTGATCCTTACAGAAAAGGTTTGTGCTCTGGCGGTGAGGGTTAAGGGACCATGGGCTAGGGAATGCTCAGAGTGGCAGAGAATGGTGGCAGGTAACGTGAGAGTCAAAAGAGAGATATTTCTAGGGTCACTAATAAAAAATTCAGAGGTCAGATCACCTGAGGACTATTCTGGGTCATGTGAAAGGGTCAGACAGTCCTCCTGAGTTGGTAGATGTTTTCAGTCAGAACTGGTAGCATTTAGTAGCCAGTGGGATTCCCAGATCCCCCTGAAGAAAGTGGAGACAGGCTTACTCGAGCACCCCAACATCTCATTCTTCAGACAGCCCTGCACCTCCGAGCTCGGCAGAACTTCCGAGACACGAGGGGAGTGGCCCGCCGCACGGGGGAGGAATGGCTGGTAACCGTGCGGGACACGGAGGCCCATGTGCCAGATGTCCATGAGGAGGTGCGGGGGGTCGTGCCCATTACCACCCTGGGCCCCCGCAACTACTGCGTGATCCTCGACCCAGTCGGACCAGATGGCAGGAACCAGCTGGGGCAAAAGCTCGTGGTCAAGGTGAGCTCCTCCTCCTGCCGAGAGGCCCACCCTGAGTGTGCGGGGCCCTGCATGCCAGGTACCATTCTAGAAACATCCCCTGTACCTTTGCACACTGAGTTCTGTGTGCCTGAGCACTGTCCCATTTGATCCCCAGGAAGCCTCCTATTACCCCTCAGGCCTCAAGTTACATGCCAGTTCCTCCCTGCCCCCCATACCCAGAGACCCCAAAACTCTCTCTCATATCTTACATCCATGTCCTGGAACCTTCATCATCCTGCATAAAACAAATGTCTTGGTTTACCCTCCCTGCCACCTCATCCCCTCTCTGAACTGTATCCCTGGGAATACCAGGGATTAGCAAACCTTTTCTGGAAGGTCTGGATAGTAGGCATTTTAGGCTTTTGGCGCCATATGGTTTATGTTGAAACTATCCAACTCTGCTGTTGTATCATGACAGCAGCATAGATGACCTGTAAACAAACGAGTCTGCTGTGTTCCTGTAATATTGTATTTGCACAAACAACAGAAAGAATAGAAACAATCCATATGTCTATCAGTTGATGAATGGATTGAAACATCGTGGTATGTCCATGCAATGGAATATCACCCAGCTATAAAAAGAAAGGGAGTGCTTTTATGTGCTACAACACAAATAAACTTGAAACATGGTGCTAAGTGAGAGAAGCCAGAGATAAAAGACCAAATATTGTATGATTCCATTTATATGAAATGTCCAGAATAGGAAAGTCCATAGAGAAAACAGATTAGTGGGGAGGGGCACAACTGCCATTAGGTACAGGGTTTCTTTTCAGGATGATGAAAATATTCTAGACTTTCATAGTAGTGATGGTTGGCCAACTTTGAATATACTGTACTAAAACAACTGAATTGTATACTCTAAATGGGTAAATTTTATATGTAGATTATATCTCAATTTTAAAAATGTAAGAAAGAAATACGTAATATATACATATATATATATATTTAAAGGGCTGGCCAGTTAGCTCATTTGGGAGTGTGGCGCTGATAACACCAAGGTCAAGGGTTTGGATCCCGATATCAGCCAGCCGCCCAAAACAAAACAAAAAAATATTTTAAAAGGTGGTTGGCCAGATTTGGCCCCCCAAAACAGAGTTTGCCAATCCCCGAATTACACCATCCCAAGAAAACAAATCACAGGAGAAATGGAGAGGAGGAGTAGGTTAATTCTTACCTGTTTAGCTTGTGAGGATCCAGGTCCTGCCAATTTACAGGCTCTTTCAAGGACAAGTTTGACCAGGTGGGATTCTGCAGGCATTTGTAGAGCCTCACTCCCACTTCACAGTATTGTGATGTGGGGGTGGGGTGTACTCTCCGCCTGCCATCCTCGACAGACCCGGGACAACATGGGGCTGGGGAGGTGCTATCGGAGGCACCTGCGACCTAACCTCACATCTCCCACTAGGGAGAGAAGTCTTTCTTCCTCCAGCCAGGGGAGAGGCTGGAACGAGGCATCCAGAATGTATATGTGCTATCGGAGCAGCAGGGACTGCTGCTGAGGGCCCTGCAGCCCCTGGAGGAGGGGGAGGACAAGGAGAAGGTCTCATGCCAGGCTGGGGACCGCTGGCTCATCCGCGGGCCCCTGGAGTATGTGCCGTCTGCCAAGGTGGAGGTGGTGGAAGAGCGACAGGCCATCCCTCTGGACGAGAACGAGGGCATCTATGTGCAGGACGTCAAGACCGGCAGGGTAACAGCTGAGGGATGGGCGGCTGTTGATGCTGTGTGGCCATGTGGTGGCTTCCTCTGGGCAAGCGGGGTGACGCTGATGGGGAGAGGTACACGGTTGGGGGTGGGGGGACTTCAACAGCCTCAATAGCTGCATCTAGTGGACTGGCCAGTAGGTGTGAGGGTATTCTAAGGAATATTGACCATCCCTTTGTCTTAAATATCTAATTTCAAATTTTAGAAACTCCAACTGGGAGTATGAGCTGGGTTTTAGGATGGGGACTCTGCCCCCACTGCAAATCTGGCCCCCAGCATAAAGGTCTGACTAGGACGTGGCCTAGGAGCAATAAGAAACTCCTCCCCCATGCCTGTATCCTGGTGGAATCTTTCCTTTTTGCTACTTCACCTAAAACCTTGACCTTGGTTTGACCTCTTCAACCTCTTTCTCCTAGAATCCAACCTAGAAGTACAGCTCAGCCTCCTAGGGGATGTTAGCGTATGCTCTTTCCATCCTAGGGTGGCATCTGTCCCTGCAATCCCCTCCAAGCTGCCCCGTGAAAGAAGATTCTAGAAATAATATCAAGCACTTACTATATGCCAAGTGCAATTTTTGAACTAGACATGTGAAATGTCATTCATTCCTCAACCATATGGAGTAGCACTGTTGTGTCCATTTTACAGATGGGGGAACCAAAGCAGGGGGTGAAATAGCTGGCCCAAGGTGACAGCAGAGGCCAAACCCAAGACTGAGCCAGCCTTGCCCCAGAGGCCATGTTTAGCCACAATGCTGTACCACCCCCTGGACCGGTTCTGCTCCAGGGCCACTGGGGGTGTCTTTCTCCCTCTCGCTCTCATTCGTGATGTCCTTCCCTGTCCTCTTCTGTCAAGGTGCGCTCTGTGATTGGGAGCACCTACATGCTGACCCAGGACGAGGTCCTGTGGGAGAAGGAGCTGCCCCCAGGGGTGGAGGAGCTACTGAATAAGGCGCAGGACCCTCTGGCCGACCGGGGTGAGAACAGCACACGCAAGAGCCTGCAGCCCTCAGCTCCCCGGAACAAGACCCGCGTGGTCAGCTACCGTGTCCCCCACAACGCCGCTGTGCAGGTGTACGACTACAGAGAGAAGAGAGCTCGGTGAGGAGCTGGCCTGGTGGGGTGTGGGCGGAGAGGCCCCCACGGGTCTGACCCCGGCTCTTTCTGCAGCGTGGTCTTTGGACCCGAGCTGGTGTCTCTGGGTCCCGAGGAGCAGTTCACAGTGTTATCCCTCTCGGCCGGGCGGCCCAAGCGTCCCCATGCCCGCCGTGCACTCTGCCTGCTGCTCGGACCAGACTTCTTCACAGACGTCATCACCATCGAGACAGCAGACCATGCCAGGCTGCAGCTGCAGCTCGCCTACAACTGGTGAGGGTGGCAGCGGGCCCAGGAAAGGAAGAGAGGGGCCTCCTGGAGAGCCGGGCTCCCAGCGAGGGCAGAACGCCCGACTCCATGCCCTGCTTGGGAGGGCACCCAGGAGTTCAAGCAAATCCAGGAGAGCCGGTAGCAGGACACTGCCCCAGCTAAACTCCCAGCATGTGTGTGGCCACATGCTTAAGAGCAAGGTTTTGAAAAGAGCAGTGAGACACACCAGCCGTGCTGCTCACTAACTGTGGACCTGGCACTTTCCTCAGTTTCCCTATCTGTAAAATGAGGATGACGACATCTTCGCCTTTCAAGGCTGTTGAAGGGATGCAGTGAGGATTAGAACAGTGGCCCGTATGAGGTGAGAGCTTGGCAGCAGCTACTAGAGTGAGGTGAGATCAGTCACTTGCAGCAATACCGCTTGCCAGCCCCCAAGCATGTGTTCCTCACCACCTGGCTGAGCGTGGCTGGCAGCAGAACAAAGGCAGGTGGGCTGCTGACCCTCTGGGGTACCACAGCATCATAATTAGTGCACAGACCCAAGCCAGACTGCCTGGGCTCAGGTTTCTGGCTTGCCACATACTGTGTAACCCTGGGCCAAGTACATACCTCTCTGGACCTCTGTTTCCTCATCTGTAGAATGGGGGTGATGCTCATCCCCAGCTCATAGGGTGGCCAACTCAGGGTAAATGGGAACGTGTCTTAAGCTTTTTAGGCCCTTACCAGGCACAGATTAGCATTCTCCATTGTAAGAGACCCTGTCCAGCCACAGATGGTGGATGTTGAAGTCCTCGAAGATAGTTGCTGTTTCCTGGGGGAAAACAGCTTCCTCACTCTGAGCCTCTTTGCTCACAGGCACTTTGAGGTGAGTGACCGGAGGGACCCCCAAGAGGCGGCCAAGCTCTTCTCAGTGCCTGACTTCGTGGGTGATGCCTGCAAGGCCATCGCATCCCGGGTGCGGGGGGCCGTGGCATCCGTCACCTTTGATGACTTCCATAAGAATTCAGCCCGCATCATCCGCACAGCCGTCTTTGGCTTTGAGACCTCAGAAGCCAAGAGCACTGATGGCACCGGCCTGCTCAAGCCCCGGGACCAGGCCATCTTCCCCCAAAATGGGCTGGTGGTCAGCAGCGTGGATGTGCAGTCAGTCGAGCCTGTGGACCAGAGGACCCGGGATGCCCTGCAGCGCAGCGTCCAGCTGGCCATCGAGATCACCACCAACTCCCAGGAGGCAGCAGCCAAGTGAGTGAGGCTTCGGGCCCAGCTGCGCTCAATGCAAACCACACCTCTCCAGCATCCCCATCTCAGCCACTGCCAGGACCTGGATAACATGGCTTCCCCTAGTGGTCTGCCTGCTGCCATCCCTGCCTCCAAGGATCTAGTCTCTGCCCTACAGAGAATGACCCACTTCCAGTGTGAAGTAGATGCCAGCCCTGCTCCTGGGCCTCCCCTACTGCTCATGATAAAACCTGGACTCTTGTCTGTGGCCTGCCAGGCACCGCAGGGTCCAGCGGCCTCCCCCGCCCCGCCTTCCAGGCTTCTCCCCTGGCTGACATGCTCCAGCCCTGCCAGTGCCCTCTGCATCTCAAGCACACAGCTGGTTCCCACTTTAAGGCCTTTGCACAGGCTGTTCCTGCTGCCCAGAAAGCTCTTCCCTAGAGTGCCTCTCAAGGCAGGCTCCTCCTGGCCTCAGCCCTGAGGTCACCTCCTTGGAGAGCCCTTTCCTTTCTCTCTCAACTGAATAGTGCCCAGTCACCCATTTTAGTACCTTCAAGGGACATGTCGCTGTTTGCAGTCATTCTTGCTTGCTTGTTTTTTTCCCACTGGAAGGCAAGTTGGCGAAAGCAGAGGCCTCGATCCCGCCCACGTTCCCCCGGCCTAGAACCACACCGACCTGCAGCTACACTGCTCTGAGCTGAGTTGCATGACGAGATCCTTCCAGGGGCCAGGGCTGTCCAGGGGAAATGATGGACTGGCGGTCCCTGCCCTTGGTGCTCCTGTTTCAGCTCTGGCCCCATGCCAGCATCTTACCTGTCCTCCCTCATGCAGGCACGAGGCTCAGAGGCTCGAGCAGGAAGCCCGTGGCCGGCTCGAGAGGCAGAAGATCTTGGACCAATCGGAGGCTGAGAAGGCTCGTAGGGAGCTCTTGGAGCTGGAGGCTCTGAGGTGGGTCGCCAACAAGAGGAGGAAAACGCTGGCGAGGGCTTGGGGGCTGGGAAAAGCTGCTGACGGGAGCAGCGGGGGGTGTGCGTGTGAGTGCTGCTCTGCTATGAGTCAAGGCCCAGGCCACGGGAGGGCAGGGCTTCTCCCTGGGTGTCACCTGCCTCTGCTGCCGTCTCCTCCAGCATGGTTGTGGAGAGCACCGGGACTGCCAAGGCAGAGGCCGAGTCCCGTGCAGAGGCGGCGCGGATTGAGGGAGAAGGCTCCGTGCTACAGGCCAAGCTGAAAGCACAGGCCTTGGCCATCGAAACGGTGAGTGAGGGATGCCTGTGGACGGGTGCAGAGTTGGGGCCTGGACTACAGTCCCTGAAGCAGAGTCGGATAGCAAGCACCCTGCAGTTTACATAGTCCTTTGCCCTATAGCAATTCATTTAATACATTCCTCGAAGGTAAGGATTACTACACCCATTTTACAGATGGGAGCTCAAACACTGGCCACCCCTGTGCCAGGTAGTGCATGTGCTCTACATGCATGGTCTTGTTTAACACTGGAAATCCCATTAAGTTAGGTGTCAGCTCCATTTTACAGGTGAGGGACCAAGGCTCAGATTAAGGAGCTCCCATGGGTCATTAGCTAAACGGTGGCATGCTGGGAATCACACCCAACTGACCATAAGTTTACAGCTCCGTCTCTTCTACCTCAGTTCCCTTAGGCTTGCTGATCAGGGTGACTTGCTGGGCAGATCCCAGGGGCCACATGATCTAAAGAATGCTGGGATTTTCCCGTTCCAGGAGGCTGAGCTCCAGCGGGTACAGAAAGTACGAGAGCTGGAGCTGGTCTATGCCCGGGCCCAGCTGGAGCTGGAGGTGAGCAAGGCCCAGCAGCTGGCTGAGGTGGAGGTGAAGAAGTTCACACAGATGACAGAGGCTCTGGGCCCCAGCACCATCAGGGACCTTGCTGTGGCTGGGCCAGAGATGCAGGTGAGAGCAGGGGCGGTAGAAGGGATGTGTGTGTGTCTTGGGACCAGCCTTGAAGCCAGGAAGGCAGAGGGGTGAGGGAAGGGAAAGTGGACCGTCCTTGTGCCATGTGCCATGCTCACTGTGTTATCTGAGCATGGCGTCACACTGTCACCATCAGACCCTGCACTAGACTCGGCAGTGAGCTGGAGCTCCCGGGGAGACAGTACACAGATAGGACATTGTCTATGACAGGTGCTTTGAAGGAAGTCAAACAGGGTGATCAGATGAAGGGGTGGATGACACTTCAAATCAGTTAGGGTCACTCTGAACCTGGACTCCCTAGAGAGGTAGCTGAGATGACAGAAGTGACCAGATCCGACCTTGTCTTCTTGCCGCCTCTTCTTTCCTCTCCAGGTAAAACTGCTGCAGTCCCTGGGCCTGAAATCAACCCTCATCACCGACGGCTCCACTCCCATCAACCTCTTCCACACAGCCATGGGGCTGCTGGGGCTAGGGTCTGAGGCTCAGCCTGCAGCCAGGAAGGCAGCTGGCATGCCCGCTCCCCAGGGGGGCTTGCCTCTCCAGTCCCTTCCTGTCCCTCAGTCTCCTGGAAGCAACCAGATTGTGCCTTAGCTCTCTACTGCACTGGCCACTGGCAAATAAAACTGACGTTTCTGGGCATTTAAATCCTTTTCTGTAGTCTCAGTCTGGGTCACAGGGAGCTTAATGGTGGGGCGGGAGGGGGGAAGTACTCCTGAATCCTGAATAGTTACTAGAGACTACTCTCATCTGTAAAGTGGAGAGGAAACTGAGGCAGCGAGAAGACTAAGCCAAGGTCACTCTGATAGCAATGTTACCCAAAGCCTTACCCACAAAGCCAGCTGTCCTTTCGGACCTAGCATTCCTAGGTCCTAGGTGGGGAGATGATGCTCTGCCTGGCCAGCCCCTCTGGGATGGCTCCCGCACTCACAGAATCTCCCTGCCAATTCCTCCCGGAACCCAGCTTGGCCGGGAGTTCCCTGCAGCTGCGGGAGAGCCACTCGGCTGCGTATTCGGGAGGCTTCCTCTGGCGCCATCTGCTGGTCGCACCAGCAGCACCACCACAGGCCTGCACCCTGCGCCTGCGCACTCGTCCCTTCTCAGATGGGGATGTCAGATTGGGCGGGAACACCCTGCCCAGGGGCAGTAGGAACTGGAGCGGCCCCCTGGGCTCCTAGTCTGAACTCTTCGGGAGCATTGAGAGATGACTGCCCCCTTCCCACCCTCCCCCACAACTAGTAAGGGACCTTCATTTGGGAGAAAGATCCAGGTGCAATCAGCCTTGGCGTACCAGTGGAGGCTGCAAGGTGCACCAGCCCTTGGGCACAGGTAGGGCTATAGGTGCCAGGCCTTGCCTGGTCTCTGAGGAAGTAAAAAGATCCCAGGGGTGGAGAGAAAAGCCTGGGCTTCCTCACTGGCTACAGAAGAAAACTCAACCTCTCTCATCTTTTTCCGTCTGTGAAATGGGCAATTCCCCTACTGGGCAGGGTTGGTGCAAAGTGCAAATGTAATGACTCTTTTTTAGGGTCTTATTCCTTTTCCCTCAGTGGGGCCTGACCCCATCAGTCTTGTTTCTTTCCAAGTTGAGTTGCATTTGTGTGGCCAGTGGCTCCACTTGAGTAGGAGCTTGCTGAGGCCAGGGACTGTGTATTCAGCCCACAGCATTTGGTGGTGCTGGCTCAGTGTTTATGGAATAGGCAAGTGTATCAGCCCCTAACCACCACCACCCCCATCTTCCCTCAAGAGCTAATTAATTTAAAGCTGTTCATCTGGTACCTGGCTGGGGACGAGTGACCAAAGCAGGCAAGCGTGTCCATGGTGAGTTTGTTCCTCCGTCTTGGCCACCAACTCACATGGCCACCCTTGACTTTGCTTGCCATTACTAATAACCACATCACCTCTGAGACCTCATCTCCTGCTGCCCCCACCCTTGCCTTCCACCAACCATTCCTCCAGCTTAAGGCTTCAGCATCCTTGACCCCAGCCACTTTCTCAACTTCAACAAACCTTTTCATTTCAGCCTTGCCCAGCTTAGATTCTGTCATCTGTCCATGTAATTTACTCCCTGGAAGCCTCTCCTAACTCCCTCACCTTCCCCTCCCCTGTGATGCTTAGTGGAAAAAGCCCCACCGCTTCTTAAACCACCTCACTCCCTCTGTGCTGCCCCTGACCAGCTGCTCGGTGCTGGGGGAGGACGTCCCATGGAGCCGACTGATCTCATTTCAAGCTCCTGGCAACACATTGGAGGGGAGGCCTAGCTCCTCTGACTGCACTCCTCTCCCTGCAGGATCCCCTTCAAAACAATCTCCTCATTCCCCAACCTCCTCCACCCCTGCCCACTTTCTTAAATTGGGCAGGAAGTCCCTCCCCTTCCCAGCGCAAATCTAATCCACATCTGGACTCTACCCTCCCTCCTGTTCCAAGAACTCCTTCCCTTGGGCTCTAGATCGCAGCCCTCCCAAGTTCTCGAGAGCTACACTGCCACCTTGGCCACCTTCCTCTCCTGCCCTGCTGTCACCTGTGTATAACTCTCTCCCATATAAAACCAAGAAAACTCTCCCTCAACCCCACATATTCCCCTCCAACTCCCATCTCTCCTCTCTTTTTCCTTCACAGCCGGCTTGTTCCAGAGTTCTCCGTGGTCTCGGTTTCCACTCCTTACTTCTCACTATCTCTTCAACCCACTCCAGTTAGCTTCCGCCTCCGCTCCTTATTTTATGGAAACTGCTGTAATTGGCATCATCAGTGATGTCCTGTTGTTAAACCTAGTAGTTCAGCCTCCCCCATCATCAGGCACAGCTGGCTGCCCTCCTTCCTCACAGGGCCCTGTGATATCACCTCTTCTGGTTTTCTTTCTACCTCACCGGCTGCTCCTCGGTCGGCTCCATCTTCTCTGCTCAGCCTCTAAGTCGTGGGTTTCCCTAGGCCCTTTTCTCTCACCAACTTTCTGGGCCAGTCTCATGACTTTAGATCATTTCTATACTGTTGACTTCAAAAGCCATTTCTCCAGCCCTGATCTCACTCCTGAGATCTGGACTCCTTTCCAATTGATCACCTGATGTCTCCACATGGATGTCCAATGGCCATCAGGCTTTGCCACGTGACCTGCTCTGGCCAATGAAATGCCAGGGAAAGTAACATCATCACTGTACTCTCTTCCCTTGTCTATATAAGAGGGTGAGCAGCAATGTTTCACAGAGGCTGCTCCATGAGAGAGAAAATGGTATGAAGTAGAGCCACAGTTGACATGCAACAGACACATAGACATGTAGCAGGATCGAGAAATACATGTTTGCTATATTAAGCAACTGAGATTTGGGGGGGTTTGTTATCATAACATAACCTAGCCTACCCTGACTCCTGTATGGACCTCAGGGCGCCTTAGGACCCAATAGGCAATGGGGGAAATTGTACGCATGAAGACGGACCTGGCACAGACCCTGTGGTGGGGAAGACAGGCATACCTCAGTGATAGGAAAACAGGCCTTGCTGGAAATACAGTGGAGCTCCAGCTCACTCTGGAGCCAGATTCTAAGTCAATTACCAAATTTACCCTTGAATGTCCCTTAAATTGTCCATAAGATATAGAAGAGTGTTATCTCTGATGTAGTTCAACACAGCCTCTTTTCCTCCAGCACTGGCTTTTCTTTGGATGAATACCAGATAAAGTCATTGATTTGCTTAAGACCTCTTTTATAAGAAAAACCTGTACCTTTTTTTTTTTTTTTAAAGATGACCGGTAAGGGGATCTCAACCCTTGGCTTGGTGTTGTCAACACCACGCTCAGCCAGTGAGCCAACCAGCCATCCCTACATAGGATCCGAACCCGGGGCCTTGGTGTTATCAGCACCGCACTCTCCCGAGTGAGTCACGGGCCGGCCCTAAAAACCTTATCTTTCAACAGCAAGCTCACATTGAACATAGTAAGATGCAGTTTACCCAATCAACTTCCTCTTCCTCTTAGGCGCCCAAGTAATCTGTATTTCCCGACCTCCTTCACACTTAGGTGTGGCCACGTGACTGAGCAATGAAATGCGAGGGGAAGTACTATGTGCTAATTCCCTGCCTGCCCATAAAAGCTTGCCCCATGCAATCTACCGTGCACATGTCCATGCAAACAATCAGGGCCATACTGGGATCCATGTCCAAACATGGTGGAGCTAAAATACTGGGGGCAGTTGCCTGGGTCCCTGCACCACCACTTGCAGGAGAGCTGCCTCCCAGTCAGTGCACCTGAGTAGGATTTCATACGAGTTAGATTGATTAGAGCACGGTGTTACAGCACGAAGGTGAAGGGTTCAGATCCTCATACTGGCCAGCCACCAAAAAAAAAAATAATACGAGTTAGCAATAAACTTCTTTCATGTTTAAGCCTCCATACATCGTGCAGTTTGTTACAGTAACATTGGGCAGGAAGGATTACCTTTAACTAATCACAGTGTGAGCACCAGGGAGACTCACCTGAGGAACAGCAGGCTCACAGGGCCCATCCCATGCTTCCTCCGGGCACAGCTGAACGGAATGAACAAATGGTATTTCTTGCATGGTGGTTATTCATTCCTTCTGAATCCCAGTTATCGCTGCACATGTTAAGTGACTCCACTATATTCCCCAGATCAAATATAGTGACTTCGGGACCCAATTCAGCCCAGAGTTTCCCAACTTCCACCTCCAGGTCAAGGGCCAACTGGTCCTAGGCTGGAAACACAGACGCTGTGCTCTGCAGGTTCCTCCTGAGCTCAGTCCTGCCCCTGGACATGGTAGCCAAGATCCCAGAGCAACTTTTGCTCTTATCCCGGAGGGAGGGGCTGGAGCTTCACACTTTCCCCCAGCCCTCCCTCTTTCCAAAGGTCATAGACAACTGGGTTTACATAAGTTAAAGACTTGCCTCACTGTAAATGGTGAGAACCGAAGAGCCCAGGAGCCAGCCAGGGCTGTGGGAGCCAGGAGGCAGCAGCTCCCTGCTCTGGGATTAAGCAAGTGTGCAGAGGGCCCATCTGTCCGGAGGGGAGCACTAACTCCTGCAGCAGGAGCTGGGAGAGCAGCGAATCCAGTCTCCCACTGTGACTGGTAGCAGGCCAGGCACAGGGCTACCCAAACCCACAGAAACGCAATTCAGTTTTGCATACCAGTATTTTCCTAAGCACACATCTGTCCCTGCCACTGCCCTGCCTAAAGCCCTTCGATGTTCATCCTACAAGCGTCTCCAAAAAAGAATTGCAAGATGGTTTACTGCAGCATCATTCACAGGGGCAGGACCTGGTAAATTCAATAACGAAAGGCATTCTATGCAACTGTGAAGGCGGCCTCTGATGTGCAACCGTTGCATAGGGTACATGTTAGGAGCACAGGCTCTGGAGCCAGACTGGCTCCTTTTAGCACCTCAATTTCCTCTCTGGAAAATGAGCACAATAACAGGTTCATTGGCTTGTACAGTACACAGTGCAGTATGGTTGTGAGATAATACATGTAAAAAGCACTTAGAGCAGCTATAGCTTGTGTTAGAAGTAGAACAGCACATATATAAAATTAATTTTAAAATATGGAAATATAAAGGCCAAATGTCCCACTGGGCTCCTGCGGCTGACCCAGTTGGCTTCTTCGGCCTCATCTCTCACCAGCTCTCCATTCCCCCAACCCCAAGTGCT